TAACATTTTATGGATTAAAAATATAAAAAAGTGTAAAAATTGTTTTGGGGTTATACCATTCTGGTTCGAAAAAATAATAACTAGTGATTACATACAGTAATATATATATAACACTGTGTGCATATATGTGTGGCTTCATTGTATATATATTAAATTCACCTTTTTATGCCATATTTGTATTCTTGTATGAACACTATACTTATGTCCAATTTAATTGCTGTGTGATTGTAAAACAAGTAAGGGGACACAATTTCTATAAGATTATAAGAATGTAAAACTGTAAATAAAAACACTGTAAACAAGAAATAATATCACCTGAAGTATGCAATTCATTTTTACTTACATTTGTACATAGAAGTGTAAAGCTCGACATTATTCACGAGTTGTGAAGCGCTGTGTAACACTTCACAGATTACCACCAACGTTTAGCAAATACGCATTCCGTCAGGCTGTCACAGTACGAGATGAATCTGACGTAGTGCGTAATGTACAGATGCTCTCTTATAACTTTATTTTCTGTATGCTGAATAATTTTGATATGTGATGGCTATTATTTATGTAAAACACTTATTACTATTATTCTTGTTGTTAATAGTATGAAGTACCTGGAGGCCACAGCATTATGAATGTATAAGCTGGGCTCAGGTTTGCTGGTTTTCAACACCTTTTAAAAATACAGTATATATCAAGTATTGTGTTGTTTTTTTGTAGTCATAAAAAAAAAAAACCCATACATTACAGTGCAGATACAAGAATTTTAAATGGAAGGGGCCCAGGGAGGAACGTATACAGATGGATTGTTTATACCATCTTAGCCCCACCATGGTTGAAGCTGAGGTCAGAAAATTTGTGAAAATGATTATAGCATTTCTTGAATTTCTTTTAGCTTCAGCCATGCAAGACAGTATAGTGTTAAAACTGAAGAATAATGAATAATGTTCTACCTAGACAATATTTCAGATGCCAATCGCCATCCAATGATAGATATATGATTATAAAAATGAGATTGTACACTAATCTGTTATTTAGTGAACCCGCTGCCCACCAATAATGATGATTTCGAAATAAAAATAAAATTTTATTTTTGGTCAGTTAGCGCCACGAAAAAATGGAAATTTCAGAAAAAAAACTTTTTCTTTATTTTTGCTGCCTTGAAATCTCCGAAAATAACTTAGATATGTCTATTTCTTCCTAATTATATAATTTAAAGCATATAACCATCCCATTACTACACTGTTTACATTCACCAATATACATTAATTTTATTTTTATTTTCTCTGTCTGAATGTCTTTGGCAAACTATTTTCTAAATAAGAAAACAAAATTTTATTTTTACTTTTTCCTGCATTCCCAACATTACATAATAATGTACCTTGACTTTCACAACATTTGAGGTGCCAATCATCATCGACTGATGGACATGATTATGAAAATAAGATTGTACCGCTGCCCTGTTATACATAATGTTGACATAATAGTTACCGTACTCGACATTACATGCTGCGTTCATGCCAGTCATTGAGATACTTCAGGAGAGAGGTGGATCCGGAGATGTCTGAAATGGGGGGAGGGACGTGATTAAGAGTTGATATACCCTGGGGTATGGAGCATACTCAAGGATATTTTTGTTTATTATATGCCTGGAAATAAAATGAGTCCCCCTGCAGGATCTTGACATTTTTAGCAATAGTGAAAGGATTATTGCAGACTCAACCTAGACATTTACATATATAGGCCTACATGCAGGATTACCATTTAAATTTGTTTGAATTGTATCAGCCTGGGGAATTGTGTTAATGGTTGTGCAAAAATCCAAGCCTTATAACGTGTGATTAGAATGGAAAAAAAAAAACATGTAAAAGAAGGCCATCTGTCAATGTGTATCTGATGATCAAGTTGCAGCGATTTATTCATGGACCATCTGGTCACATGCTTTAAGACAAAAAAGATTTGATGTTGATAATAATTTCTATGCTAAAAATCTGAAAATATACTTGGATATTAAAAGCTAGGATTTAGAGAAAAAATGCGTAACTGCCCTTTTCCCCCCAGTTTTTAAATATTCAAAAATCTGTATCTCATTATGTTACCAAGTTTTTCCTCAAACACCCATTTTGTCTCATTATGTTACCGAGTTTTTTTCTCAAACACCCATTTTGTGTCCTAGAAAAAACAGTTGTACAACATAGCATTTTTTTTTCCCTTTGCGACCTGGCTTTAAGCCTTCATGTGCCTCATTTCAAATAGGAGTAGAAATTAATAACATGGATGTAATATTATAGGGAGACTATAAATAGCCTGCTAATATGAATATATGGCAAATAATTGTGTTCATTGGTTCTGGCGAATTGTTCAACAAATTTCAGAGAATCAGAATGTCTATGGTTAATTAATAAAAATAACAGTTAAATTAACATTAAGGTTTAGGCAAGCTTTTTTTTTATACCTTGTTCAGCAAACCTGCCGCCTGCCAATAATGATGATATTGAATAAAAATTTTATTTTATTTTTGGCCAATTAGCACACCCATCACCATGAAAAATTTGGAAATTTCAGAAAAAAAATAAAAAATTTTCTTTACTTTTATTACGCCTTGAAATCTCAAAAAAAGGATATGTATATTTCTTCCTATTTATATAAATTTAAAGCATTTAACCATCCCATTACTACACTGTTTACATTCACCAATAAAATTTTATTTTCTAATCCGTCTGGATGTTTTTGGCAAAACTCTTTCCTTGAATGAAAAACCAAAATTATATTTTAATTATTTTCCACCCTCCTCTGGCAATCTTAAAAAAATAAATTTGCGAAACAAGGTATAAAAAAAGTCTCGTGTTACAAAGAGTGTTGGTAATGAGCGTAAAATGTCATTGAATAAAAAAGGTGAAATGTTATAAAGGTGAAATGAGATAGCTACTGGACTGAGATAAAAGTAATTAATTTAGTTTCTAAAAATATAGTAATCAGTTGTGGTATAGTGATCCTTAAAGTTGTGGCTTTAGGATACATTCTGGGGGTATGGCATTCATTAGAGTGACAAGATTTAAAGATGGCAACAAAAAAAAAACACATTTGTAGAAATAAAGAGAATCAAAATAATTCTGTCTAGTGCTCAGGGTAAGTATTGGAAGGAGGGATATTGCAAACACGAGAGGCGAGCTTAAAATCTTTTAGAACAAGATTAACTTTGGGGCCTAAGTGTAGGGTGGGGGTTGGACAAGGTAACAAAAACATCTAATAAGGGTAATAATAAGACTAATAAGGACACATTTGCTCTCTAATTAAAACAATAATTACCAAAAAAGTTGTTAATTTGTTAAATGGAGGTGCTTTTTAGAGATCAGTATTAATAAGGAAAGGAAAGAAAATTTTAATTAGCTCATCAATAAGAATTTTAAAAATTCTATTAACTTAGAAAGTTTATATTATCAAACAAAAGAATAAAACACATTGTTTTCATTCAAAAGAATTTATTTCATACTTAATAATTTTCGGATGAAAGTAATTTCTGAACACCTAATAACAATGATATTTTATTACTTTTTTTCAGTGGTATAAGAATTAAATTAGTATAGTAAAACTGAATTAATAGATTTAAATTATTATGGCACTAATACAATAAAACACCTGGCTTTGATTAGCACTTGAAACTGCATTGAACCATCATAACTAAATGGGTTGTTAAAGCATGTACCTTGTTTAGAAACAAATACATTACTAATTTAATCATGTTAGCAATGATTGACCCAGAACCGAACATAATTTCCGGACAATAAACAATTAACTGTATCCCTGACTGGTAATAAAGCAAATGACCCCCAGTTAAAATTGTAAAAACTTTTAATTATATCAATTCAAAACAGGAAATAGCATGGGAAAATAAACAAGTGACTACCAAGATGGTTTAAAATTATACTGTATAGTATGTTTTTAGTGAGCAATTTTTGATATGTTTTACCATTACAATTGGTAAAATAACTTCCAATCATTTTCTGCATTTTATTTGAGAAAAGTAAAAATTCAAATCAAATATTTTATTGGAGATATAATTAATAATTTTGTTTTGCTTCAACGCGATTATATAATTACATGGCTATTTAAAAGTGGTGAAATACATTGCCAAATGTAAAATATTGTGATACTACATTTTAACCCTAAAAAAAAAACTTAAAATAATTATAAAAACATTTGTTTATATCATTTTAAATAAAACTATATATATGAAACAAACTCAGAATAAAATTCTTCCACATAAATAAACATCATCACAATATGGTTAATTCAAATTGATCAGGCAATCAAAGCCCACCATACAGTATAACTTGTTGCTATTGGCTAGTTTCTATCAAAGATCCTTGAAAGCTGAAGAGTTCACCAATGGTGTCATGCCTCTTGAATCTTCTGGTTGTAACTTTTACTTTGGGGTAAGTCATGGAGGTAAGTCATGGAGGTAAGCAGTAGCTGCAACCAGTCCCTGTTTTGTTACTCCTGGGTGTTTTTTTTTTTTTATATCTTTGTGGATTGTTTAATATATTCAACTTTGAATGAAGATGCTAGAACTCGAATATCTTGTCAGCTGGAGGGATTGCTTGAGCTGGTCTTCTGTACATCATCTACAGCTGTCAATTCACCAGGTACCTAAAAAATAGATATACAAAATATTTAGGCTTAATACTTATTTATTTTCTACGGTATTCATTGAATTTTACCTCTTCCAAGGAGATTATGTATATACACTTGAGTCTTTCTTAGCAAGGTAGCATGGATCATAATAAAATTTAGTGGAATGGTAAAAAATAATCTAAGAAAGGGATGATTGAATTTTGGGAAGAAAAGAATAAAGGAATGGTCAATTTTAGAAAAATTCAAGCATAAAAGAAAATAATAGAATCGCCTTGCACAAGGTAGAGATAAACAATAATTTAAAAAAAAAATCAATATATTCAAATTTTAGATTTATGTATTTATATTAGCTTTTAAGGATGTTGATACTACAAAGACTAATGCAAAGAAAACTGAATTGTTTGATTGGTTCAGTGAGAAATTCTAGTTTTATATTTAAATTTTGGTTTCTTTAGATGTACACTATTATTATAAAGTACATTTTTTTATTGGATAACTATTGTATGTTTATAAATAATATATCAAAAAACAGGTTAAATTAAAGAAATTAAATAAACTGATTTATACAATGATGAAAATTGTTCATTGATGAGTAACATACTGTACATGACCAGCTGTATTAATGACTGGCGAGGATGATGATATTGAAGATGATGATTATGACAATGATAATAATACCAGTGGTGATGAGGATAATTTTAAATATGGTTTCAATGATGATATTTTGCCAGAAAAATAATAAAATAGTTAAACAATCTTACCATATTTGGTTTGTAGTAGGAATGTACCAGCTGAGACCCCAACATCATTGACAGCAAACTGGCAGAAAGAAACTTAAGATAAGGCATCCAATTTACACCCGCCGGCATAATCACTGTATCCTTGGTATCGCAATCTTTCAAATCTATTTCCAGTTTCATTCAACTAGTGTTCAAATGTGTGTCCTCTCTAATCACTTGTATTTTGTTCCTCTGCTAGTCTTTGTGCTTCTTTTCTTCGATAAACATCATCTACCAAACAATAATCAAAAGAGTCACATTGTCAGGTGTTTGTAAGATTTAACAATATTTGATCAGATCTTGTATGACGGTGATGCTTGTTTCAGATTATGAAAATTGTCAGCTCAGGTCATTCAACTAATTCATCAGACCAAAGTACAATCAAAAATAATATTTGTTTGGGGGGGGGGTCATCAATTATGTTAATAATTTTTTTATACTTGTTTTTATTTCCTTCACATCCAACAATGCTTTATAAATTAAGTCTCTTATTGAGGCCTAGGGAGTGGAGTCATTTTTAGTTGTGAGAAAAAGTCCCGCTGTAACAGGAATTGAGCCTAGGATTAGAAGGCAAGAATCTTAACCACTAAGCTACTCAACTCCACTCTATTTTCAAAAGCATAACTCCTCCCCTGAAAGAGTACACAATAAAATGATTTTTGTTTTTGCAACCATCACTTTCATTTTCCAACATAAGACTCAGAGTATGATATGCCTACATTATCAAACCCCTTCTCCCTAAAGCATATGTTTTGTACTCTTGATGAAAAATAGGATGAAAATAATTGATGGCTCCCATCCCAAGTCTGACAGATGGAAATCTAAGCCTGTGCTAAGCTATAGAGTTCCAAGACTGTATAGTAAGGCATGTGTGGGGAATACATCCTCTGCGCAAAAATTGAATATGGCCTAGAAATCAGATTTCCGCGCAGATTTTTGCTGAAAATTAGGTTTCCACTTTGACCAAATCTTAATATATAAGCAATGCAATTATGCAGCACTTACGATTCGATTCTTAAAAATTTTCAGTGCAAATTTTAGCTGATTTGTGAGATATCCTCCGCGCAATTAAAAAAACTTTACAATTTAAGGTAGAGTTCAAATAGAAAGACAAAAATGTTTGGTATTGTTACACAATTCAATAGCAAATGCAGTTACGTGTATGTTGGCAGAAAACCTTGATTATTATTTCAAACTAGAGGGCTTTCATGAATAACTCCCAGACATTCCAATTTTTATGGGCTTTTATTAAGTCAAGGTTATGTTGTAAAACACAACAATACTTGTACCTTTAAGTAAGTGAGTCCACTTTATTATGTGTCTAGAAATGCCAAGCCACCCAGGAATTCAGGCTTCCCTTAAAAATTGAGGTTTATTTTATTACCCATCATGTTATTATTGTTGGAGATAAAATTTACCGCATATTACAATGAATTAACAGGAAGTTTTCAATTTCAAAACATTTACGAGTGTGAATAAATAAGATTTAATATTATTTGCCTAATTCTGCCCAGACTGTAAAGTAAGGCCTGCCCCGGAAATATATCCTCTGCACAAAAATTATTCCTAGAAATCTCTCTGCGCATTTCGGAAAATAAAGGCCGATTTCTGGAGAGATTTTGCTGAAAATTAGGCTATTACCTAATCTTAATATATAACCAATGTAATAATTAGGTTACTGTATGCAGTAGTTACGAATCTGTGCACATATTTTCCTACCGATTTTCCATGCAAATTTGAGCTAGTTTTTGAGGTACAGTATCATCCACGCAATTAAAAACTTTATTACAGTATGGATTTGGCATACGATTAAAAATATTATTAAACACATACATATAATATTAATATCATATAAAATAAGCCTGCTAGGCTTCCTTCCCTACATAATATTAGTATTACTACTACTAGTATTATCTACTATTATGATTTACATTCCCATTCAAATTCAAAAAAGAATAGATAGCCTAGAGGCCCTAGGCCTACACTGTAGGCCCTAGGCCTTCAGGCAGCCTGTTAAAAGCGGCTGCCTGATTGAGATGAAAGCATGTTTATGTTAAATTTTAAATATACTGTTTTTTTCGAGGGGCCTATAAGCATCGTTTTGCTTGGCCTCTATACCCAGGAGGATCAGACTGTAGAATACTCTCTTGGGAAACAAGTAAACAAGTAAGCAGCTTGAGGTTGGTTAGGCCCAGGGCCTAGGCCCAGTGATGGGTCTTGGAACATCCAACTAGCCGGTGAAAGGCCATTTCGGCCGCCGCTACATTAACCATCAAACTTACAAAATGTCTCTCCTCCGGGAGCAATACGAGCATTGATCATAACCCATTCAATACCAGCACCCATAAAGAAAAACAGTGGAAGAAACCTATATATTCCTAATGTACGTTTTCCTGGCCATCGGTTCAATAATTGGCGAATAGTTCCACTGTACATCACTTCAAAATTCCAGTCTATTGAATCGCCGCCGGTGCCAAACACACCACCGCCATTAACATTTGGACTCGCGTTTATTTGTTCGTATTACATTTCTCTTGTCTTTGTCTAACAGTACCTTAAGGTCTGTGTGATTGGCTTAGATTCTGACGCTTACAGATACTTTTGTTCATTAAGCCAATCGGCTGCTAGTTTTGATTGGTTACTTTGAAGGCTGGGCTTTAAATGATGGTGGTCTGTCGCAGTTCAACTTGAGAAGAAGGTTTGTAAATTTTTACCATATTTGCCTATCTTCATTAAACTATTGTCCTAAAATTGTACTTATATCATAATTGATATTCTTAGTAAAACGATTAATCATGTTGTAGGTAAAAATTATTTTGAAATAATTTAATTTTGTTACGGGAAAAGAGCCGAAGCCCTCAGCCCGTTCGAACACACTGAAGCCACAGACAGCTGCCGACAAATTATTTTCAAAGGGTTGCGAACGGTCGACAATAAACTCAGTCGTCAGGCGTTAGAGTTCTAAGCAGTACACAAAGGGTGTTCAAAAAAGCTACATTTCCACGCAGGAAGCTGTATTGAGACAAAATTACACACATTTTGTGTGGAGATTCACCTCAAAATATGGTAACGTATTATTTTTATTAGTTAAGCCAAGGACGGACTAATAAAGTAGAGATGAAATACACCCTGTAATAAAAACTATAAAAAAATACATGCTGGCTTAAATTATTCTTAATTTGCTGGAGGGACGGCTTTGTGACGGCCAAATGTAAGTGTAAACTGCTTATGATTCATGGCTATATAAGCCAAAACACATGGCAAATTGTCCTTCAACACAAAGCCATGATATATTTTACATAAAATGTTCTTTTTTAATTTTGAAATTGTCAACAAAGATTACTTGAGTTTTGATCAATATTTAACAACAACTGAAATTTTCTTTTTAAAAAAACTTTATTTTATGAAGCATACTGTATACATCAATGCTTTTCTTGGTTTTACAGTATACAATAGTATGTTGTATTTTGATTATATATTCAAATAAGTTAAAGGCCTAATTCAAATTTTTGTGATCACATTTAAATTTTGATTAAAAATTACAAACTATCAAACTAATAAAAATACGGTGCTAATAAATTATCAGTAACAACTGTTTTTCCAATAAACTGTGTCAATATATCTGTTGTTTGTTTACAATTTATGGAATATATAAATCATTCTTGACATACTGTACTATACAACAAATTGAAAGAAATATGTTTGGCCAAATGCGTTTTTAGGTGATTGTTATATTAATTAGTTGCCATTTCTATTCATTACGACTTCAGATACACACATGATTAGCTATTAATTGGGTCAGTAGTTTCGAACATTTTTACATTCGCAGACCCCTCAGGCCATGTACTCATTGTCGATATTCTACCAATAGGATGATAAGATAGAAGATGATATGCCCAAAAAGTACAACATCAAGGTTACTTCATTATTGAAGGGAAAAAAAAGTCTAGTAGACCTCAACATTTTTCATGGATGCCCGGTGGACCCTTTCTTGGTAGAAAATTGAATTAAAGGACAATATAAACTTTGATAAAACATCATTAATATGATATTTAAATCAAACTCTTGTTCAATTTTACATTTCAAATTTTTTCACTACACTACTTAAAATTCAATCAGTTTTAATTCCATTTGAAAAAAAAATTCATATCGGTACAGTAAATTTGTGTTATTGCTCATTCTCAAGCGTCCGTTATCCTTCAGCCGTGGTCAAGATTTTACAGCCTTTGAAAAACTATGCCACAGATGCACGTGAACACCCACACATTAACCAGCAATAATTTCCTAGCAAATATTGGTGCAATCCTTGTAAAGCCTGTTACAGTATTTGTCGTTAGTACTAGTAGGACTAGTCTGCATACAACAGAGGATCTGGAACTTGGCAGTTACAGTAAAATCTTCCAATTCAGGGTCATGGGTTCAAATCTGTGTCTCTTCCATTTCCGAGCTTCATAATATTACCAGCAATAATGATAAATTTCCTAAACATTGAATGTCAATAAAATTTATAAAGAACCAGTAGGCCTATGAAATTGAGCTTAGAAATTTGTCAGTACTTAAAGTTAAACAAAATGGCGGCATGTCGCCAGGGGGCACAGGTCAAAGTGGTTGCACTCTCTCTGTTTACTCATACACATATGTGTAATATGTGATATTAATTATTTAAAAGTATTTCATATCAAATATGAATTAATTAGTCATATTCCAAGTGACGAAGTCGTGAGATTTTAAGGCCTTGAAGATATTATAGTTATAAATTTTTGCACGCAAGTAATATGTTTTCATTTAATGTTTAGTGTTTATACTGGAGGTATTGAAGCATACTTGGTTAATACAGTACTGTATGCACACATTTTCCTTGCTACAAGTACATTTAAAGTAGTAAAAATATTAGTAATTACCGTACTCGCGCAAATAAGCGCCCCTTTGAATAAGCGCTCCTGTCAAATAAGCGCCACTCCTAACGTGAAAATTTCCTTAAGCGTCCTGTTTGAATAAGTGCCCCCTTCTAATTTGAATAAGCGTTTCCCTCTATAATATCATAATTCTTTCTTTATAGCAAGTCAATAATCCAATCAATCCTGGGACTGTGGTTGTTGGCATGATTTGAGCTGCAGAGCGGAATCACATTCTTCTTAGGTCAATATCAAAATGAGGGTATTTCTCTTGGACATGAAAGCTCTGATCCCTGGACATACAGTATATTTCCAACTTTCCTCCTCTTACATATTTGGCTATAGGCCCAGTCCTACTCCTCTTTTTCTTTTTCCGACAATTTGCACCTTTAGCACATTCTCATCTGAGTTTTCAAGAAAACCTGCAATGATCCTGCCATCCTGCTAATCTCAATCGGCCAATGGCCAACAAGCTAACCACTGTCCACCACCACTAATTGCATCTGCTATTCTGCTGTTATGTAAATATTCACAGCATTCTTGTCATGAGCCATGTTCTCTGGACAATTATCTTTTTTGCAGCACTACCATTCGTAATGTCCTTATATAATTTTTTTTCATTCAAAAAGTGCCTCTTGAATTTAATAAGTTCCCATAAGAACCCCTCGATTTTCATCTACTGTATTTCCATAAGCGCCCCCTCAGTATAAAACATCTGCTATCGGTGTATCAAATAGACGGCTAACATTTGACATGCAGTATAGCATTAATTCAAGATATCATTTTGCTTCAAAATTTTAAGTGTTTTTCTTTTATAAGCTTAAATAAGCTTACAACTATAGAGAACGCCTTATTTATCTTAACTTAACTGTAGAAGTAGTTGGCGCATCGGTTGTGGTTTGGACTCCCAACCTTGAGGTCGGGGGTTCAAAACTCTCGCTGTGCAAGTCGCTTGTGTCCTTGGGCAAGGCACTTTATCTACGGTTGTCTCTCTCCACCCAGGAGTAAAAGTGGGTACCTGGTAGGTTCAAACACAGCCTGCGCTGAATACAGCTGCAACATTATGGAATTCCCCTATGGGGCCTGAGTGTGTGTTCCATATGTGCTTGATCCAGTGATCCGGGGTAATAATGTTCAGCGCATAGAGAAGTTTGATATGCGCTATATAAGTATACAATAATAATAATAATAATAACTTACTTCCTCTTTCCTTTCGAAGGGACTTAATTGATCTTTTGTTTTTTTTTAAATGTTTCTTTGGCTATTATGACTTGGATTTTAAAAATGTTTTCGTTTTTAATGAATCTCTCGCCTCTTCACGTTCTCTTCGTCATTCTGACCATCTCAAACTCGTTGACAAACGTTGCAAAACCGAAACTTACAGAATACTTCAATCGTATTGTTCCTATGTGGAACCAACTCCCTCACCCCATACGTTCAAACTCGACAATATATGGTTTTAAGCAAGCCTTACGCATAAGA